CGGAGCTCAGACAGTAGGTCCGGAGCATCCCAAACTTGCCGGAGATGCCCTGTTCGACGGTTTAGGGGTTTAGGGTTTAGGGTTTAGGGGTTTAGGGTTTAGGGTCTAGGGTTTAGGGTTTAGGGTATTCCAGCTAACATCCGAGAAAGGAACGATCCTGACCCTCGCCTTTGCCTGTCCAAGAAGACTCAGTAGGCAAGTCTGCTGCTACGCCGACCCCTGCCGAAGCCCTCACAACCAACGGCGTAGGCAAGGGAGCACAACCCGCGAAATGCAAGGACAGAAACCGGTCCTAGTAGGTGGTATGCCCTATAATCTTCCCCTCCAACATGCTTTTACCCTAAACCCTTCAATCCTAACTTTCTATGTTTACCCATAGGCCCCATAGTAGTTCCTTTTTGGGATTACCTTATAGGATTCTAAATATGAACCCCAAAAGGGAACTACTATGGGGCCTATGGGTAAGGTCTACTTACACCCCCCCCCCCCCCCACAGCCCACAATGCGAGCAGCGGGGCGTAACTTCCTCGGAACGACCTGACCGCTGCTCCGCGTGGCCAAGGTGGGTGCAGGGGGCAAATCTTCATCCTGCGGTTGTAAGGTTTGGTTCAAGTTTTGGGGTTTGCCTGTAGTCTCCATTGTAGTTCCTCTTTTTGGTTTAACCAATTATATGTGAAGGATTTTATAAGGCCTCCCCAAAAAGAACTACAATGGAGACTATAGGTATAGGGCGTTGTAAGGCTGTAGGGTTGAGGGCAAGTTGAGGGTGTAGGGTTTGGTTCAGGTTTGGGGGTTTAGGGCTTCGGATTTAGGGTTTAGGGTTTTGCTGGGGTTTCAGATGGGGTTTAGGGTTTCGGGCTCCGGATGTAGGGTTTCGGGGTGTTGGAGTCTGTGTATAGGGATTGGCCCAGGATTGCAGTCGCGCACTTTGACTAGTGTTGGACTCATGACGTTTGGAAGTCAGAATTTTGGGGCTGAATTGAACCTGGGGCTAGGGAACAAGTGTAGCTACAGTTGTTGTGGCAACGAAGCAGCAACACTTCCAACCTCTTTTTGACGGTGAGAGCAAGAGTGAGCAGCCACATGCTGCAAGGAAAACCAGTCGCGAAGTAAGAATCACCACTTGCTATGGCAACCGCGCCAGGACAAACAGCAATGCGATGCAATACCATCGGCACTGGTGAGCACCAGCACCAGCGCCCCACAACCACCACCACCACCACCGCCTCCACTATCGCCACCGCTGCCACCCAGAATCGCCACGAGCACCGCCACAACAACAACGGGGACGGTGGGACGACAGCAAAACACCGTCAGCAAAAGCAGCAGCAACAGGAACAGGAACAGTAACAAACGTTGAACCTGTCCTCAAGCAGCGATAAGGCGATGATCACCTGAGCTGCATGAGATGCGCCAAGGCTGTTACATGTCCTAGAACCCCAAACTCATAGAACGCAAACACCCATCTGGAGTACCGTTACAAGACAGTGTGAACTCGATGCTCGAACGTCTTCAGAAAGCACTGACGCGAGCTGTCTGCTTGCTTGTCGGGCTCTGTACCAAGGACCCGCTATTTCCACGATCCCGCATTTTCTGCAACTCTCATAGCCTGACTGGTGCAGAACCGCCAGAGGTTTGCATACGGTAGCCAATGCTTCAAATTCAGACAGCAGATTGTTCCAAGTAACTTTCCAAGCAGGATTACTGGCAACAATAGCCACAGTATGCCCAAAACCCAGAACCCGAGTTCCACCTAGTTGAACCGAGCAACTGTCATGAAGTTGAAGCTGCCAAAATTCCCGGCCAGCACGATGCCTCTGACCAGGGACAGTGGCTGGAAGGACCGTCAACCCATAAAACCCAAAAGCCCTACACCGCTAAAGCCGAGCCCCCTGAACCCCAGAAGCCGTAGCGATAACAATCAAATCAACCACAATGATAATCGAAAGAACAATGAATTACACCAACTTCTACACACATGATAATAACAACGAATGTGACTGATAGTCCCAACCATAAGAGCCAGACTATAACAACAATAAACCCCGCCGATATCCACTATCATCAGTCCAACAAAGGGGCCTCAACAATTAGACTACGGTCTTGGGAGCTCCCTATTCGAACTATCGTACAATAATATACCAAAACCCTATTTCGATTCATGATTAAGGCCCCTAACCCTAAACCCTAAACCCGTAAGCCCCTAACCCTAAACCCCCGAACCCCGGAGCCGCTAACCCTAAACCCTAAACCACTAAA